AGCTGGACAAGCGTCAGGCGGTCAGGGCCCGGGGCGACCCGGATCAGAGAGGCGGGCGGCTTCGCCGGGCCCCGGCGGCGCAGATGCCGCGCGAGGCGAAGGGGCGCGAGGCAGGAGCCATCTCCCAGAAGAAGAAGATGCGCAGGGGCATGAGCGTGGACCCGACGCAGCGCCAGCCGCCGAAACCGCCTGGGCCGGAAGCTGCCCGAGACGAGACCAAGCCCCGCGACCTGATCCTCGCGGCGGCGGCCCCCCCCATGCCGCGCGCGCGGCGTCGGCCCGCCGCGGGGGGTCGCGCTCGCGCAGCGGAGGGGGGAGGAGCTGCAGCTGCAGTTTGTCGCGCGCTTGTGGGAGGGCGCAGGAAGGCGGGCGCCATCAGGCAGTGCCTGAGTGTTGTGTTGTCCGCGCCCAACATCTGGCCCTCGCCGCGGGCGATCTGACGGCGGGCGCAGGCAGGCTCTGGACAGCGATCGACGGCCTCAGAAAGCGCGACGGGATGCTAGGAGGGAGAAACCGGCCACCCCCAAGACGACGCGGTGGATCCGGAGGAAGCTGCAGCCGGAAAGGTCTCGCGAGGGCGCGGCCCTCTGGGCGGCGGCGGCAACGTGTTAATTATCACTGCCGAGGGCTGGCGAGCGCGCGCCAGGGGGCCAGAGCGGCTACGCGAGCGGCAGAACGGTTCGCGAGGGGTCGGCGTCGCTCCGAAGGCGGCGGGTGAGCTGCGCAGGAACTGGCGCGGAGCGAACGAGGTCGTCATCGGGGTCCGGGCCAGCAAGACCGATCACTGGAATCGTGGGAAGTGGCGCAGCCATTCCAAGGTCGAGGCGAAGGCGGAATCAGCGGGGAAGGAGAACAGATGCTTCGCGGAGGCTCTGACGATCTATGGGGGCTGGGCGCGCGAGAGGCTCTCGGGGGCAAGGGTGCGCGACCCGCTCCTCGCCTACCGAGAGGTTCCATGCCATCTGCGACTGGAGACATGAATATCTTACTCCATGTCATCGAATTCGTTTGATGGCATGAAGGACCATCTGGCGATACACTTCAAAGGCGCATGCTTTTCCACGCGGCTATATACATCAATGAAGTAAGCGATAAAGCTAATCATAAGACGCCCAAGCGCGCCAACGGCGCCACGGGCAACGCGAGTCTGCGGCTCGAGCCATAGAGGCAACTTTGCAAAGGAAGGAAGGACCAGGAGGAGAGGAGAGACGACAGGACACGATAGGCGAGCACAACCTGGAATGGCATACCGCACCGCAACATAACGCAGCAGAGAATCGACAGAGCAAACTGTTGCATGACATTGGAGCGGCGGAACTGCGCCTCAAGCCTCAGGTCATGTCTGGGACTTTATATTCGCCCTGCCCAGACGCCCCCCACGCCGCCCCCCCCCCCCCCCCCCGTCCCGTCACTCATCTCATGAGTATTCTCGTGGTTTCTACATATGTATATATATATAGATATATGTATAGATATCTCCCCTGTGTTCTGCTTTTGTTTATTGTTCTTATCTCTCCCCCTCTCTCTCTCTCTCTCTCTCTCTCTCTCTCTCTCTCTCTCTCTCTCTCTCTCTCTCTCTCTCTCTCTCTCTCTCTCTCCCTATTTCCCTCTCCTCGTCGTCGTAGTCGTCGTCGTCATTTCCCACGCCCCAGCTCTCTTTGGCGGCTGCGATCGCTCTCGTTCCTCTGCCTCCTCGCGCGCTCGTCGTCGTCGTCGCTGTTGTCGACGTTGCGCCCCGCTTCCCTTCGGGCGGCTCTTCCGGCACAAGTCCGAGCTGGACGGGCAGAGCAGTCGAGCTCAGCGGGCCCGGCCGCGGCGATTTCGATCGCCCTCTCGCCCCTCTCCCCGCGCATTCTCGCCGTCGTTGTCGTAGACGCTAGGTCTTATTTCCTTCGCAAAGCGAGGCGGGGCCGCCGAAGAGCTGGCGCGCAGAGATGCGCGAGTGCACGCCAGTTCACGCTGTCCGCGAAGTCAGCAAGCAAAACACAGAAACGCATCGCCGCGACCGCGCCGGGGATCTGACATGGATCTGGCAGTACTAGGCTGGAGTCTCCGAGGCCGTCTGCAGATGCGGGAAGGTTCCAGCGGCTGCCGCCGCGGTTCGCAAAGTCGCGCGAGCGGAAACCACCGCCCACGTTAAGCGCCGCGAAATAACTCTTCTTCGACTCAATCGTTTAACCATTGGGCAAGTCGCACTCCACGCCCCCTCTGCGCCGTCGCTGGGCAGCCAGACCTTCGCACTGCAGACCGACCCCCTGGGCGCTCGAATCCGAGCTCGGACGAGAGCGTCTGCTTCGGGGAGCGCACGGGAGCTGTCACTTTGCGATCTGTCTTCGCGTTGATGTAGTTGCTCAACGTGATGTTCTGGCGCTTGGAGCCGCGTTGAGGTCGACCGCGTAGACCGTCGCGCTGACTGGGTTCGAGTTCTCGATGTCGTCGTCGTCGAGGCTATCCCTGCTGAGGTCCGTCGAGCGCTGGCGCTAGAAGTGCTGGATCTCCTCGCGCGCCTTGGCGGCCGCGTAGATGGCGGCCGCGTAGAGGTAGTCATTGTAGACGCAGTTGCGGTCGCGGCGCGCGCCGCCCCTCGGAGGGGCAGCGCCGCCCTTCTGGCCCTCTGCCTTGTAGATGCCGATGTCCTTGCTGCAATGCATTGTCCGCGTGTCCTGGGTCGCCTTCTCGGCGGCCCCGACGTCGCGCCCGTCCTCAAAGTCATTGCTCGCGCCCTGCTTCGCCCCGGCGACGAACCAGCTGCCCTGCCCAGCGCCGCCCAGCCTGAGCTCGGGAAGGCAGGTCACCACCTGCTTCTTCTTGAGCACGGTCGAGTCGCTGAAGACCGCCATCTGCGCCGCCGTCGCCGCGGCACGGGGTGCGCCGCAAAAGCGACGGTGGGCAGCGCCCAGACGCAAGGCCTATCACTGCTCAGAAAGCTTGGGCCGAGTGATAACGGATTTAGATGCTGCCCTCGTCGCCGTCGTCGTCGCCGTCAAACTTCCGGGCTTGCAGCGGGGCCCGCAGCGCTGCAGCGACGCAGGGTCAATGCATCGCGCGCGCCCCCTGCCCAGCGGCTTGCTGAGCCCCCGCAGAAATGCAGTGATCGGGTCGATCCCCCTGCGCAACAGGCCCAGCGACTTCGAAGCATCCTTGTTGCGGGGTTGCGGGGTCTCCCATGACGCGCGAAACAGCCGCGCGCGGAACGCCGAACGGTAGGGGGGGCCGAATCTGGACCCCCCCCGCAGCCTGCGCGACGGGCGGGCCTGACCGCAGATCATGGGCAGGCCCTGACACCAATAGCTAGGAAGGTGAGCCCGGCTTCGCCACTCCTCCCCCCCTCCTCTTCCACCTCCCGCCCCTCCTCCTCAGTGTCCCAAGGCTTGGGCATTGTGCTCCCTGGCCGCGGCAGGCGTCAGTCTACTAGGTCCAGAAACCATTGTGCATTCCGATTGCGCGAGTGTCGTCTCGGGGCGCGCCCGCTGCCCCCGAGACCATCTCTCTGCAAAGCGGGCCTCTGCTGGCCAAGTTCTCGAGTGTTTCTCGGGCGCCTCGGGACAAGTTCGCGCTCTCACCAGAAGTGCCGCCCATCGTGAGCTCGACGAACTCTGGATTTCCGACCAAGCTTCGCTCCCGCAGGACCAGCAAATATTGGTTGCGAGATTCCTTCCCGAAGTGCAGCCCTTCCGAGGTAGAGCGCGTGGACCTCCCTCCCAATGGCAAGGCTGCGCCTAACGCCCATGACTGGGCGCGGGTGGGATCGTGGCGGCGTGGTGCCAGGCCTGCGTGTGCGAGGGAATTGGGAAGTGGACCGCCCTCCCCAAGGCCACTGCTCTAAGCGCCCTCGTCTCCATACAGAGCTCACCATCCCGTATGAAACACCGTTGCGCAGCGGTGGACAGAACGGATGTTCCTTTTCGCGCGTTGGTTTCGACTGCCACTGTTGCAGCTCAAATGGCGGGATTGTGAAGCTGGGAGGGCCTGGCCAAGCCAAAGAGCTGCCTGGCGCAGGACGCACTGTCTGGCTCTTGTGCACCAGAGGCAAGCATCCCCAGCATAATACGAGGGAGCGGAACGTCAAAGTACTTCCCTCGCCCTGATCAGAATAACAACTGCTGGCAAGCAGTCGTCGAGGTGAAACGAAACATCCTCCTCGGCCTCGTTTCTCCTCTTCCTCCTCCTCATCATCCCTCCTGATCATAATCTTCAATCCCTTCACCATTTTGATAGTTCAAAGAACTCCTCTCTGCCGCAATCCACGACCTGTCAATACGGCGGGCTGGTCGTTTCACCCGAGACTTTCTTACCATGTGTGGTCCTGCTTCCTGAAATTAGCAACAGCTTCAAGGATAGAGGGTGGGTGGTGTTCAAAATGTGGTTTTCGTCTTGGCGCCGAGTATATTCGTTGAAACCTTGCGGCGCGACGGAGGGCCTATCCATTTCAAAATGTAGCCCTCGCATTCGTTCCAAAAGTTCGCAGCATGCTCATTGATGGAAAACGGTCCTGTTCGAGCCGTGGCTCTCGCCTTAGAGCTGCGAGCGTTCGCTTTCAATGTCACGTCGTTTCGCGGCGTTGAAGTCCCAGCAATGGAGATCGGGCGCGATTTGGGATCGGCAGAACGCAGCAGTCCCTTTGATTCGCGGCGTCGAAGTCCCAGGAGTGGTGATCTGGCACGCTCCTGCCTTTCAAGCGGTTGCCTTTCAAAGAGGCACCCGCCACAACAAAATACATTATTGTAGGGACCTATGGAGAGGGAGACTGATGGGTGTAGTTGCAACATAGTTGATGCGTCTTGGGTTTACACTGGTCTGCATCCTCTTCCACATCTTCCTCTTCCTCGCCCCAGGTTCCTCTTCGCTCCTCCACCTCCTCCTCCTCCTCCTCCATCTCCTCATCCATCTCCTCCACCTCCTCCTCATCATCATCATCGTTCCTCGCTCCTCCTCGCTCCAAGTTCATCCTCCTCCTCGCTCCTCCCTTCCTCGCTCCTCCTCTCCCGTGCCCCGTCCACGCAACGGCTGGTAGCGGGCGAGCTCGTCGAAGAGCTCGGCCTGCACCGGGCGCGCAGCCCGCCCAGCCATCCAGAGGGCGGAGCCGACGGTGACGACGATCGACGACGATCCGACAACGATGACGACGATCCGACAACGATGACGACGACAATAACTTACCTTACCGTCTACCTCAATCCCTATTTATTTTCAGGTTCATCCTCGTCTTCCTCATCGTTCCTCCTCCTGCTCCTCCTCCTTTTCGTGATCATCCCCCTCCCTGCTCCTTTTTACCTGCTTCCACCTCGCCCATCCCTCCTCTCCTCCCCCCTTCCCCCTCCTGTCCAAAAGTGTGCGAATTCCCAACGGTGGAAATTTGCATCCAGCTGCGTAGTCACCTGAGGACTCTATGTGTGGAGACATGTGTATCAGAACCGCGCGCGCTTCGGTTCTAGCCCCGCCCAAGGAACTCGCATCGCAAGTTGCCGATGAGAAATGCAGGGGCGATTATGGTGGCCATCTCTTCGTTCCGACAAGATCGCGAAGGGAGCCGGTGAGAACCCATGCGCGAGATCTCGCCGCCTGTACAGCGACCGCATCAGGGCCCGGCTGCTAGGCAAGTCCTCACAAGTGCTTGCACAACTGCAACAACTGCTGTCCCTTCGGAGGTGGTAGAGGGACCTGCGGCAATTAACTTTTGGGATCCCCGCGACGTGACGGGGAGTCCTGGGGTTCCGACGTTTCCTGCGGCTCTTTGGTTCCACCCGAGGACCGGAGGAGGAGTTCAGCAACGAAGAACTGTGCCCCAGTCTGGTTCCGAAGTACACGCCACCAGGGCCACATCACGAAGTATCGAACCCGCCCCCCCCGTTCTGACAACGCATCTGGAACCAAGCCAAAATGCAACGAACTCAAAAAAACAATATCCGGGTCGCACTGGCAAGGCCTCCAATTCGATGACTCTGGCTTCTCGATGGGGCATTATTGAATAGCCTCCGTGCCACCTCAAGCCGTCCATGGGCCGTCTTGAAGCCTATTGGATGCCTGCTGGATGCGGTATTGTGAGAAATGCAGGTTAGTAGAGATGTGCCATGGAGGAGTAATGGTAAGAGTTGTTCAGTCTGCTGCTGCTGTTGCTATCTCTCACTCGTGCAGACTGTTTTCCTCTTGCCAGTAATCATTTTGGTTCAAAGCTGGGCAGGAAGGTGGACGCACCTAGTCACGGTTGGCCTGAGTACTGAATACAAGAGTCACCATGAATTCTTCCCTTTCTTGCATCAAGAGAGCTTGGTTGATATTGTGACTATCATTGACACTGGTAGCGGAGCAGTTCCTGTTCCACGTCTGCGAAGATTTCACATAGAAAGGCATTGCAATAATACATGTTGGCACTCATTCTCGCTGTAGTGCTTTACCACAGCGCATTCCACACCAGCGACGGCAACATCACCAACCGCTTGGACGACAATCGTAGCAGTAGCCAGGGCAAAGACAACAATGCAGTCAGCTACCATATGTGCAGCAGCTGCAGTATACTCGACAAGATGACGACGTCCAAGCAGCAGTTCCAGGATGGATCCTTCTGCGTGGACAAGGAAAGGAGGGCGTGGTTCACTACAACGGCGACCCTGCATACGGAGAGGAGTTCGAGGATCGAGCGAACCTTGGCTACCATGCGAGTGAGGAAAGGATTCAGAAGCTCTACGCCATCAAGCTCAAGAACGCACTCGATGGAAGGGCATGGAATAGTGCACGTAAGAAGGCCGACATCACTACTCGAGCAGTTCTAAAGAGAGCAGGCGACGACACACCTGCTGCACCTCACTTGGTAGTGGCGACGGTCCGAACAACATGTGAGAGAATCGCACCACTACAAAAGCAGCAACTCGTTCTTCAAAGGTTCCGGACAACGATCGGAATCAGTTCAAGACTACATCTCAAGGCGAAAGACGGAATATGAGAGGCTCAAGTGGAGACAAGCATATACTACAGTGAGTGAGGAAATGCGAACGTACGTTCTGCTGAAATTGGCGAATATCCGCATGACCGAGCATAAGGCCATGCCCGGACAGTGCAACAAGTTATACATAGGGTAGAACTTGGGCGCGCGCTTCGCGCGCTCCCAAGCTCTACCTAGGGCCATGATCATCGTCATCATTGTCATCCTCATCCCCGCCATCTTCATCGTCATCGTCATGGTGGCATCGTCACCATCGTGACGCTAACCCTGGCCAGGAGACATTTTGGTGTGTCTCGGGCCAGGCAGGTCCAGCAGGACAGGTTGGCACTCGGGCAGAGCTCGGCATGAAACGAACGAGAGAGGAGGGACGAGCGGACGACACAGACACACCACGGCACCACAAACCACAACACAACACAATACAAACGAACGGAACGAGGAGGAGAGACAGAGAGAGAGAGAAGAGAGGGGAAAAAAAGAAGACGAAGAAAAAGAAGACGAAGAAAAAGGGAGGCAGCAGGCGGGCACAGAAAACGCTTGAGCCGTGGCGGTTGCAGACCGCACGGCCCTCCATCGCTCTACGATTACTGTTCGAGAACCTCACATCGTGACGCGAACCCTGGCCAGGAGACCTTTGGTGTGTCTCGGGCCAGGCAGGTCCAGCAGGACAGGTTGGCACTCGGGCAGAGCTCGGCATGAGACGAACGTGAAAGGAGGGACGAGCGGACGACACAAACACACCACGGCACCACAAACCACAGCCTCACACAACACAAACGAAGGAGGAGGAAAGAAATAGAGAGAGAGAGAGAGAGAATACCCCTAGACACACCGAGCGGGATTCTGGCAGTGGCCGCATTATGATATAATATGTCGGAGACGGACTAAACGATTTGAGTCGATACTACGTTTCAAAGCCCGGGCAAAACACGAACAGAAACGGAGGGGATAAGGCTCAGCAGCGCTGGTCCAAAGTTTGCCCGAGCTCTGATCAACGCCCGTTAGAACAATGTGAAGCTTGGACGAGTGACTGCATACACCACTTCGGCCGTGACAAAGAGCGGGAAGCTGGATGGAAAAGCGGGGGGCCCAGATTTGCACCCTGGTCCTCTTGCGCCACCGAGCCCCGAAGCCGCAATAGTCTACGGCGCAAGCCTGGCTCGTCGGGTGACGGGCCAGGCGCTCGAGCGGGGGGGGCCCTCCACAACCAACTGGATCCAGGATTCTCGAGCGCCGCGGGAGTGCCAACACGGAGGCAGCCTCGAGCCACCCGAAGACAAGAACGTAACTGGTCGTTCCCTCTCTTACACGCTTCGGAGGCCCTGGGGCCCAGATTAGGGAGGCCCCAAACATGCTCGGCACTACGCAGTCGGCACCAACTGGAGCTGGGTGGCCCGTGGCGGGCTTGGGGCCAGGGTGCAGCAAGAGGCCCCCATCCACGCGGCAGAAACAACGCTGCTCGAAATCCACCCCAGGAGCGTCGTCTGAACGACGCGGCGGTTCAAATCGAACCAGGGCAGTTTCAAAATATCGACCGGAATCGTGGCAAGACCCTGGGCGCGCATGGCCCTGGACATGCCTGCTGTTCGTGCAATAAACTCCAAGAACACCTGGCTGTGGCGACTACGTGCTGAACCCAAGGCACGCCGCAAAATGTGGCGAAGGCGAGGCCTGACCTCGCGATCCGTCAGCGCAGGCGAGCCAGGAATGGCGCCAGTGGCAGCGCCGCGCCTCCCAGCACGATGCTGGCCAGGTTGCTCTGCACGGCGCTGCCGAAGTCCAGCGCGGCCTGCGGCACTTTGCGCAGCTCCGCCAGCGCGCTGGCCTCCTTGCCGCACCGCTTCATCATGGCGTCGCTCCGCCAGCGGCCGCACGCCTTGACCTCCAGCGGGCTCCGACGCTTTGCCGGCAGGTCGTGCGAGGCGCCGCCGTGCCGCAAGCCGTAGGCGGTGATCCCCATCGCGGCCACGCCAAGCGCCTCGGCCGCCTCCTGGAACCCGACCGTGAGGTTGCCAGGCTCGGAGGACCAGATCCGCTGATCTGCTGAGCGGCATCTCTCCTTCAGCTTCCTCAGGCAGGGGCGCAGGAAGTCGAGGTCGTCGAGCGCCGCGCTCTCGCCCCAGGCGCCGACCACGGTTGGCTTCTCCAGCTCCCCAATAGGAGGCCCCAGCGCAGGGCCTGCGGGCCCGCGGCGGCCACGGGCGGCACCAGCTGGAGCGCCGTCAGCGAGTCGCACTCCCCGGGCCGCAGGCACGCGCTGAAGGAGAGCAGGGCGGCCACCGCCTGCTCGACCAGGGCGGCGCGACAGCAGGTGGCCCACGATGGCGAGCACCAGGACGCGCGGCACGGGCAGGCGCGTCTTGCGCAGAACGACCTTCGCCCATCCAGCAAGCGCTCGGACCAAGCGTGGCCAATTCTGATCTCCATAACGGCCCACCTCCGGGTAGTGAAACTTCACCGCAGCTGGTGTCTTGCTGGCCACATCGCCTGCCATGCCCAGGTAGAATAGCCTGTCGAAATAAAAAGCCAGCGCGTTGTCGAGGCCCTTCGCACATTGTTCCAGTCGAGGCCCGCCTCCAGGGCCCACTCGAGCAACGACCTCCCCTTCTTGAAGTAGTCCTTGCGGGTAGCGTCCGCCACCGAACGGCTCTCGAGGTACGTCATGTGGGACGAGGCCTGGGGGGGCTCCGATGTCTGCGATGATCGGCGGCACCGGGTCCGCCGTGCCGCTGCCGCTGCCGCCGACGGCGCTGCTAGCCCAGCCAGCCAGCGCCCCTGGGTCGCCACCAGGGCATGCATCTGGTAAGGGGCTGAGCGGGCCGAGGGCCGGGAACCTCGGGGCGGCTGGAAGAGGCCCAGCGCCCAGCAGTTTTACCATCACGATCAGCATCACGGTGTTCGATGGCCCCGTCCAGCTCCTGCTGCCGCTTGATGTAGGACAATCATCGGGGCGGATTGCCCGCTGGGTTCATTTCGGACGGGACCCAGCGAACATGTATATGGAGACGGCGCCCGAGGGTCGAAGCAGCTGGCTCGCGCAGAATATCCCGAAGCTGAAAGGCCGCCGAGCGGCCCTTGCCTACCGCCAAGGCGAGCCCCA